GGTGGTGATGGTGGTGTGTGGGGGGGTGTCTGAGCTTCCCGGGGGTCCCCCGGCCCCGGGATGCAGTGGGGATGTGATGCCCCCCTGCTCTGATGCCCCCCTCGCCCCCCCCCCCCCCTGCGGGTGCCCTGTCCCTGGGTGAGACCTCCTGGCCGTGATGGAGGACCCCCATCCCCTCCCACCTTGGGTCCAGAGGGGCAGCAGGGCCTGAATGTGTCCCCCCCTCCTTGTCCCTCTGAGTCCCCTTCCAGGGAATAAGTCTAAAGGGAGGGGGAAAAAAAATCTGATTTATGGCCAGGGATGATTTCTCCCAGGGATGCTGGGAGCAGGTGGGGAGGGGGGTGCTGGAGCGACCTCCTGGCCGTGATGGAGGACCCCCATCCCCTCCCACCTTGGGTCCAGAGGGGCAGCAGGGCCTGAGCGTGTCCCCCTCCTTGTCCCTCCGAGTCCCCTCCCAGGGAATAAGTCTAAAGGGAGGGGGGGAAAAAATCTGATTTATGGCCAGGGATGATTTCTCCCAGGGATGCTGGGAGCAGGTGGGGAGGGTGGGCGCTGGAGGTTGGTCCAGCACGGAGCCTCGCAGCGCATCCCGCTCCGCTCCCGGCCCTAAGAAGTTTGGGCTACAGCGGGTACGGGGTGTTTCCAGCCAGCATGTTCTCCAGCTGGGATCTTTACTAAGGAAAAACCCTGCAACAGGCTTTCCTGGCATCCCGGGGGATGCTTCCCACTGGGTTTTATTTCCTGGAGGATGCTTGGCTGGGGGGGAATCACAGCCGACTCCTCCACGAGCAATGGGATGGAGCGGTGTCCCCAGCCTGGGTTGTTCTGCCCGTGGGGTTTGTGATGGGGGGGGTCTTGGGGTCCATCCCATCGTGGTGCAGGGTGGGGACCCCAACATCACCCCACCCAGGCCCCCAGCAGCGCTGTGGCCTCAGCGCAGCCGTGGGGCTCTGGCAGAGCTGCTCCGTGCCACCAGCCCCCTGCAGCAGGCAGATGCATTTTAGGTGCATTTAGCCCTAATATCGTGCTCCCAGGGTCTGTGGGCACCCCCCACCTCAGCCCCCCCCTCAGCATCCCGCCTGTCCCCCCCCCGGCAGCTGGGGAGCTGCTGGAAAAACCTCTCTGCTCCTGCAAATGCCGCGTCTGGCAGGGAGAGGAGAGAAATCACTGTCATTGATTATTTTTTTTTTTTTTCCTGCTTCAACCTGCTGCCTTGGAGGAGGTTTTTGGCCCCCCCCGGCTGGGTGGGTGGTCGGCGGGCGCGGAGGCAGGCTGGCATCTAGCGACTGTCCCCGGTAATACAGAGCCCTCCCCTCCCCTGCCCCGGGCTGCTCCCCAGGGCCTGGGCTGGGATGGCCCCAGAGAGGGATGGACCACGTTTTGGGTGGCTCTGGTGGGGTCTCTGGAGGATGTCAGGTGTTTTGGGAGCTTGTTTTGGGGTGCATTTGGTGCAAACAGCTGTTGGGGTCTCTCTGAGCACCTCCCTGCTGTGCCATGGCCCCCTGGAGAAGCAAATCTGAAATGCTCACCTTAAAGGTGAGGTTGCACCCCATCCTCTCCCTGGAAAGGCTGCAGGAGCGTGTCTGCCCGGGCTCTGCCCCAGCCCCAGGTGGCAGAGATGCTGAAAAAAAGCATAACCCAGAGCCTGCGAGAACAAGGCCTTCCCGAGGCAGCTGGGATCTTCCCCAGCAACCACCCTCCGTGAGTGGTTTTCACCCATTAATTTCTCTAATTGCTTTTGGGAATCGCAGCAGCAGTTGGCACTGGTAGCATCCCAGGGAGGTGCTGAGCTGGGCTGGGGCCAGTGCTGTGCCTTGGCTGGGGGGGGCTCACGTGGTTCTCCCTCCCAACCTCCATCACCACTCACCACCCCAAATCCAAACTCCTGCCCGGTGGGTCAAGGGACCCCGTTCTCCTCGTGGAGAGCATCTTTCCAGGTGGGAAAAAACTACAGGAGCCGCGGTGATATGGTGAGGTGGCCAAGGCTCAGGGCTGCCCATGTGCCATCTGTCCCTTGCAGACCCCCTGGCATCACCCGGGGGCTGATGTCCAGGGGGATGGAGGAGCTGTGCCCATGGGGTGTCACCTCTCTCCCTTCCAGGTTGGCCACGATGGGCTCGGTGGGAGCCGAGCGCTTCAAGGAACTGAGCCCGGCGGGGACGCCGGAGGGGAACGTGGTGATGAGCTTCAGCTTCGACAGCTACCAGCTGGAGGAGGACGAGCTGCAGCGGGGCAACCAGGCCAAGGGCATCCTCACCTTCATGGAGCCAGGTGAGGACCCGCACAGCCCCACACCACAGCCAGGAGCTGTGTTCTCTGCTGGTTTCCCACCCGTTTAGGAGTTTTCTAGGATACTTTAACAGCCACAAGTGGCCCAAAATGCCATAAAATTCCCTAATGGCTTTTTTTTTTTTTGGACATGTTTGTACCCACACGAGCTGCACAGCATCCCATGGTGATGGGCTCTGCGGGTTGGCAAGGCGTTGAGGGTTCATGCCCTGGTTCTCCTGCCTGGCTTACCCCCAGCTCACAACTCTCCCCTTCCCCGTGTCGGGCTCAGGGATGCCCCCGGGATTTATCCCAGCCCTTCTCCACATCCTGGGACAGCCCTGTCCACCTCCAAACCCCTCCTGCACCTCGACTTTGGGTGTTGCCTGCACTGCCTTTGGCTGCCCAAAGTTCGGGTGGTTCCCTGCCTCCTGGGCCTTTATCGTGGGTTTCTGAGCTGCTTCCTGCCCTCCTCATTTAGAGAACAAGTCACATGAGGAGAGGCTGAGGGAACTGGGCATGTTGAGTTTGGAGAAGAGGAGGCTGAGGGGAGACCTCATTGCCCTCTACAACTCCCTGAAAGGAGGGTGTAGAGAGGTGGGGGTTGGCCTCTTCTCCCAAGGGAATAACGACAGGAGAAGAGGAAATGGTCTAAAGTTTTGTCAGGGGAGGTTTAGATTAGATATTGGGAAGAATGACTTTCCTGAGTGAGTGGTCAGGCACTGGAACAGGGAGGTGGTGGAGTCACCATCCCTGGAGGGATTTAAGAAACGTGTAGATGTGGCACTTCAGGGCATGCTCTGGTGCCTGAGATTGTTGGTTTTTACGTGTAGATGTGGCTCTTCAGGGCATGTTCTGGTGCCCGGGATTGTTGGTTTTTATCTCGTGTAGGTGTGGGGTTTTGTTTCTTTGTGGTGTTTGGTTTTTTTTCTTTTGTGGTTGGACTCGATGATCTCAAAGGTCCATTCCAGCCATGAATAACCTGTGATTCTGTGATGTGGAAGCACCGTTCGTCACCCCACGTGGTGTAGGTGTGTGGTTTTGTTTGTTTGTGGTGTTTGTTTTCTCTTTGTTTGTGGTTGGACTCGATGATCTCAAAGGTCCATTCCAACCATGAGTATTCTGTGATTCTGTGATGTGGAAGCACCATTCGTCACCCCCTGGCTGGGTCTGCTGCAGGTTCCATGGGTGCAGCAGGGCCTGCTGTCATGTCTTTTTCTCTTTCTTTTCCCATTTTGGGGCAGTTTCTGAGGATCCCGAGCCCCAGGATCGATACCATGGGATTTACTTTGCCATGCTGCTGGCCGGGGTGGGATTTCTTCTGCCATACAACAGCTTTATCACCGATGTGGACTACCTGCACCATAAATACCCAGGTAGGTCTCTAGCAGCTGCAGCACTTTCCAGCCACCCCAAACCTGGGGAGAGCTCAGCCCCCCTTCCAAGGAAGCTGGACCCCCACCACCCCACATCACTTGCCTCTCTACAGGGACCTCCATCGTCTTTGACATGAGCCTCACCTACATCCTGGTGGCCTTGGTGGCCGTCATCCTCAACAACGCGCTGGTGGAGCTGCTGAGCTTGCACACTCGGATCTCCGTGGGTGAGTGTGGGTGGCCACAACTCCTGGCAGCACTGACCTCCACGTTGCCCCACCACCACCCACCTCTGTCTCCCACCTGCAGGATACCTCTTTGCCCTGGGGCCCCTGCTCTTCGTTAGCATCTGCGACGTCTGGCTGGAGCTCTTCACCCGCAGGCAAGCCTACGCCATCAACCTGGTTGCCGTTGGGGTGGTGGCCTTTGGCTGCACAGGTATGTGGGACAGTGGCTGGCGCTGTGGCCAGTAGAGCCCTTTGGATGGGGGTGGGACAACATCTCCATCCCCAAGAGCCATGGTCTCCTGGGACAACCTCTTGCTCTGATAACTATAAGATGACCCTTGTGTCCCTGCTCCATCCCCTCCACCTCTGTCCAGGCACTGTGGGACTGGATGGGGGCATCGGCACCAAACTGTGCATCTGTCCCCAACACCACAAGGGCTTTGCCATTTGAGCCACCACGGTGGTTTCCCAAGCCCCTGCACTTGGTGGCCTCTCTTGGTGGGAACATCCAGGGAGGGCAAAAATACCCCCTATTTGGGGGGGCAAGAAGGCTTTGGGTGCTGTTCAGCAAGGGTACAGCTCCCGGGTGGCACCCACTGGGGTTTCTCCCCTCACCCAGCATTTCAGCTGCAGCAATAATGTCTTCTTCTCCCCTCGGCGCATCTCTCCTGAAGTGCAGCAATCCAGCTTCTACGGCTACACGGGGCTGCTGCCCAAGCGCTACACGCAGGGGGTGATGACGGGCGAGAGTAAGTACCTGCATCCGCGTCGGCATTCGACTCTGTGGGGTCCCTTGGGGGGCACCTCCTCTGCTGTCTCCCAAGGCTACGCCAAGATGGGGATGGGGGTGTCTGCCAGGAACCGGCTCCACTGCCCCAAAAATTCCCTGCTTGTAGCTACTCCCCACCTGGAGACATCATCTCCAGACGGTGGGGAGGCTGCTGGGGGTCCCCAAGCCATGGATGGGGCTCAGCAGGACCCGGTGCCAACAGCTCTCCCATGCCACCACCAGGCACCGCTGGGGTCATCATCTCGCTCAGCCGCATCTTCACCAAGCTGCTGCTCTCAGACGAGAAGGAGAACACGGTCATCTTCTTCTTCATCTCCATCGGCATGGAGCTGACGTGCTTCATCCTCCACCTCCTGGTGAAGCGCACCCGCTTCGTCCGCTACTACACCTCCTGCTCCCGCAAGGGTCTCCCCGAGCCTCGGGGGGCTGGTGACCATGGGACGGGCTACTGCATCCACCATGATGTCACCGCTGAGGATGTCCGATTTGTAAGCCAAGAGCAGGTTTCCTTGATGCCCCCTGGGGGTCCCTCTCTCCACTTGGAGCTCAGAACTGATGTCCTCTCTCTCCCCCACGCAGGAGAACCGGCCGCGGGGGCAGCTGAGCTCCCCCCAGGGCAGCCCAGGCCCCGAAGCCGAGCTGGCCGGCAGCGGCACCTACATGCGCTTCGACGTCCCTCGGCCCAAAATCAAGAGGAGCTGGCCCAGCTTCAGAGGTGGGTGGTGGGCTTACTGGGAGAGGGGAGGTGAGCCAATTTTGCAGCATTTTGTGGGGCAGAAGAAGCAATCAGTGGCCTAGGGCTTTGGGGAAGGGTCATCCCTTCTTAATGAACCTGAAAACGTGGGGCAATCACGGTTTTGGAAGCCACTGTTGGGGTGCAGGCAAGACTTTCAGGCTGTGTGAGGGGAGGGCCGTGGGTTGTGGCTGAGCTGTGCTGCCCCGTACCTGCCAGACATGCTGCTCCACCGCTACGTCGTGTCCCGCCTCATCTGGGCCTACATGCTCTCCATCGCCATGACCTACTTCATCACGCTGTGCCTATTTCCCGGGCTGGAGTCAGAGATTCACAACTGTACGCTGGGGGAATGGCTCCCCATCCTCATCATGGCCATCTTCAACCTCTCTGACTTCGTCGGCAAGGTAGGAGAAAGGTGGGGCGGATGCGTCCTTTCCACTGTGTCTCTTTTTTGTGTCCTCTTTTTGTGTCCTCTTTAAAGCCGCTTGGCTCCACCAAGGGTCATCTCCACCCCATGGGTATCTAAGTAGTGTGAGGTTGCTCACCGGCATGGCTGAGGTTGGGCTCCTGCAGGAGATGGTCTTGCCACCATCTCATCTTCTCCTTGCTGCCCCATTTTGGGCACCATGTTGCCCTCCCCAGCCTCCTTGGCCCCCACAGCATGGTCTCTCCCCATCGTTGCAGATCCTGGCTGCCCTGCCCTACGACTGGAGAGGGACCCACCTTCTCGTCTACTCCTGCCTCCGGGTGGTCTTCATCCCCCTCTTCATCATGTGCGTCTACCCCAACGGGAAGCCAACCTTTGGCCACCCTGCCTGGCCCTGTATCTTCTCTCTCCTCATGGGCATCACCAACGGCTACTTCGGCAGTGTCCCCATGATCCTGGCCGCTGGGAAAGTGAGCCCCGAGCAGCGGGAGCTGGCAGGTAGGACCATCCCCTCCCCAGGAACCCCACTTGGGGTGGCCAGTGCGCCCTGACACCCTGTGTCCCTTCCCACAGGGAACACCATGACCGTGTCCTACATGACGGGCCTAACGCTGGGCTCGGCCGTGGCGTATTTTGCCTACAGCCTCACCAGTACGTCCCACAGTACCTGTTTCTACACCGAAACCTCCAACGGCTCCTTCACCTCGGGGTACTGAGCCCCGGGGCGGGGCGACGGGGACAAGATGGGACCTGCTTCCCACCATGGTCCCCATCGCCCCGCTTGGCCCATGGCCCTCCTTGGGGAGGGAGCCTGGAGCCAGAAAGCTGCCCCAGGGTGGACAGGGACCAGCATCCCGTCGGCATGGGGCCATGGCATCCCAAAACAGCTTGTGATGCCCAACCAGGACTAATTCTTAGGGTGACACCTCAAGGTTCACCTCAGGGGACAGTCCCGTTGCTCTTGAGGCCTCCCCATCAGCTCTCTGGTGGGGAGGAAGGGGGTTCTCCTGTTTGAGCCAAGCCATTGCCAGGAGGAAGAAAATACTGCCAAATCCCATGGGGAACAGGACCAGCGCTGGGGAGGAGGGTGATGGAGGGCTGGGGAGGAAGAGGAGGATCAAGAGAGGAAGGAACTGCTCCTTCAGGCCCCTGGTGGCTCTGGGAAGGTGGGTCTCGATTGATGGTGCTGCAGGTTTTCACCAAGAATGGCTTGAAATCACAGTCCCTCCCCAAATATGCCAATTGCTGTGTAAAAGACCCAATTCATGTTTGCTGGCTGGAAAAAAAAAACACAACTTTTTTTTGGTAGTGTCTTTTTTTTTGCTCTTTTTTTGCCCTTTGCTAATTGCGAGAGGCAGGGTCTTGCTGCCTGTCCTGTGGGGCTTCGGGGTGCCCTTTGTGCTGCTCCCCATCTCCAGGGTCCTCTCTGTCACTGGGTCCCATGGAAGCCCTTGCCATCCTGCAAAGTGCTGCTGAAGCACACCACCTTCAAGGGCAGCAGTGGGGAGAGGGAAGGGGCTTAACAGAGCAGAAACCATCTGGAGAAGGTGCCACCACCAGAGGCTGCCACTTCTGGGGACCAGCTACACCTCATTGTGCCGGGAATCAGTGAGTGCCACCTTCCAGGTAAGCAAAGCCCAAGAGCTGGAAGGTGGTGGGAGCAGGAATGCTGCCACCAGTGCTGGAGGGTCTCCTCCTGCCAAGCCCCAGGGGCTTGAAGCGTAGCTCACACCAAAAAGAGCAAATTCAGTGTTTCATCCTCAACATGTTGTCCTCACAGGGCTTCGGGTTATGGAGTCTGGCTATAAAGGTGATTAGGGACCTGGAGCATCCCTCTAATGAGGAAAGGCTGAGGGACTTGGGTCTTTTTAGTCTGGAGAAGGCTGAGGGGGGATCTGATTAACGCCCATAAATACTTAAAGGGTGGGTGGCAGGAGGATGGGGTCAGTCTTTTTTCAGTGGTGCCCAGGGATGGGACAAGAGGAAATGGGCACAAACTTGAATATAAGACGTTCCATCTAAACAGGAGGAGGAACTTCTTCACTTTGAGGGTGGCAGAGCCCTGGAAGAGGCTGCCCAGGGAGGTGGTGGAGTCTCCTTCTCTAGAGACATTCAAACCCACCTGGACACATTCCTGTGCAACCTGTTCTGGGTGGGCCTGCTTTGGCAGGGGGTTGGACTAGATGATCTCCAGAGGTCCCTTCCAACCCCATAGCATTCTGTGATTCTGTGAGTCACCATGACTGTGGCATCTTCCAACCCCATAGCATTCTGTGATTCACCATGACTGTGGCACCGCAGAGCCCTGGAAGAGGCTGCCCAGGGAGGTGGTGGAGTCTCCTTCTCTAGAGACATTCAAACCCACCTGGACACATTCCTGTGCAACCTGTTCTGGGTGGGCCTGCTTTGGCAGGGGGTTGGACTAGATGATCTCCAGAGGTCCCTTCCAACCCCATAGCATTCTGTGATTCTGTGAGTCACCATGACTGTGGCATCACGAACTCGCATCTCCTGCCCCACGGGCCCCAGTGAGCAGAGACCTCTACTCTGGGGTCCCATGGGACTGTTGGGTGGACAGGGGGACACCCCACACAGCACCTGGGTCAGGTCTTTCCCCAAACTCACAGCAGAAGCTGAGCCAAAATGCGACGGTTGTCACCAAGGGGAGAAAATCCCCACAGTCAGGACAGGCGAGACAAAGAAAGATGCTTCGTTGGGTTGCTTTTTTTTTTTTTTTTTCATTAATTTTTTTTTTTTTTTGAAAAAAGATCACACGGCGTTCTCCACA